TTTGGAATAGTTACAAAATATGCAATAGAGACAATTGGCTTCATGCAATGTAAAATGCATGTGTATAAATACTTGAGGTACTAATATAAATACTTTGTAAACTAGTTGGTAGGCTTAATAATTTTACTCTCTTCCAAGTCCAAGGGATGACTGTATGCAAGTTCAGGTGACAGAATGACTCAAAGATACAAGAAATAAATTGTTTGTTGTTTTGCAAATGTGAAAGAAAATGCATTATACATTTTACTTTGGATAGATGACAGGGATCTGCATGTGTCAAATTGTTTCTTTGCCATGCTGTAAATATACTGATAATGATATATTGAATACAGGGATTGGGATGGAGACCTTAGGATTATTAGCCATTTTCTGAATTTAGAATGGGCCACTGCCCTTGTATCAATTGTAAACTTCAAAATATTAATGGGGCATTTTTATTCTAATGTGCAAAAAGGCCCCTGTCTTTCCCAATGCCTGGAATAAATAGCAGTTCTTGTAACATTATAATTTTTTTTATAAATATATGAACTTTCCCATTTATGGTGACGTTTCTATTCACACAAGAAGTCATAGTGTCACAAATCAATCAACAGCTCGACAAAATAACCTTGATGGCATGGTTACAATTATTTCGGTTACTACTATCAGATATTCAAAACAAAAATGTGAAACCCTCAGCCATATGAATATTCATCATGAAACAATTATTTATCACATTATGTAAACATTATTTTAGAGGTGATATATAAAAACTGGTTGTTGGACAATATTTATTACACTTTGTACTAGATGTCTTGGAGTGAGTGAACTATGTACTATGATCTACTGTACATGAGTGTTACTTAGTTCTTGGTTATGCAGGGGTGAGGTTCTGCTATGCTCTAAGCAAAATATGAAGCAGCACACAGCACCTTCAAGTCACAATTGGCAAAAATGCAAGACCAAATACACTCAAAATATGAGGTAATCACTCAAAGACATTTCCTGTATTGTAAAATATACTGATGAATACATGGGGAAACTAAATGTGCATATATACTATGTCATGACTGTATATTCTGCAGACATTGGCTGATAGCAGCATGAGTATGATTACTTGTCATGTAATATAGTGTTTTTCACCCATTTTTAGTAACTTATATATTCCAAATATTCTGCCAATGAGGCCAAGGTTGGTAACTGGCATTCCATATTTTCCACTATACAGTTAGACCAATATGATTTAAAATAATGGAAAAGAATAATGTGTACTGATTATTGTGCTATGAACCAGTGTTGTAATCTAACAGCAAATAAAAACAAAGAATTTCATATTTCAACAAAATTCCATGTCATGTAGAATCACATGCCTATGCCTTTGATTAAGTTTAACTTTTCATTGGTAAGCATGTTTTTTCATGGAAACTGGAGTAGTAGGGTAACCTAGTGGTTAAACTGTTGACACTTGTCACACTGAAGGCCAGGGTTTGATTCCCCACATGTGTGCAAAGTGTGAAGCCCATTGCTGCTCTCCCCAGCATGATGTTGCTGGAATATTGCTAAAAGCGGTGTAAAACCCAACTCTCTCACTTGGAAACCTTTGCTATCTACAATGAAAATCTAATCTCCTACATCCATCGTTGTATCTTTACTGTCAAATCAATATCATGGCTAAAAGCAGAAATCTTCCAAACCATTCAATTTGTGCTTGGTTTATCCACACTTAAAAAACAATAAACAAGTTTTATAACTATTCTGCAATTTTATTCCAAAGACATAATTCCTCATAACATATCAAACATTCTTTGCATTTCCCAGATGCGAAATCTGAAATAATACTGTAACAGTATCATCTTGAATACAAATGTTCTTTCATGGTCACTCATCTAAATTCTCACTGAATTATCTGAGAGTCCCAAGATGTCACAAAACTTTCCACAACACCTTGCTGGTTACAAGCATTTCCTGTTCCAGCAAGTGTCCAAAGGATGATGTGTAGGGCTTTAATATGTTTTATAACTGTATATACAACACTTCAATGACTTGCTGTTTCTTCATTTGCAATGTATATTGCTTGACCACCAGATGTTAAAAGAAATTTGAAGATCTGTTTCAGTTTGTGTTGCTCTTGATGTCAATAGTAATTGTGGTGATAAAGAAATCTATTCCTCCTTCTTTCTCCTCTTAAAGATGTGCATCTGTTCCAACTGAAAAAAAATACATAACACACATGAGACCAAGTATGATATACTTAATAAAATGTAAACAGTTCCTTACAATGTTGACATCAAGATATTGATAAATTAAGCATGTGAGTTCTTAAATTATCTCGCTGTTGGGGGTAGAGGATGTAAAAGTTTCAACTCAGTCCAGTGATTTCAAAATGTCCTTTAATCTCAAGTTCCAAGCTTTCTTACTACACTTCTTCTAAATACAATCCACACAATGACAGAATAACAGCACCTAAACATTAATTTGACAGTGACTAGACAATGTCTAGACAATGAATGCACAGTGGCTGGACAGGTTGAAAAACCGTATGTCCTCTAAGCCCACAACACACAATCCTATAACGCTCTCTTAGAAACTTAAAAACATGTCTTACTTCTTCAGTATCTTAAAGCTCTCTCTCCCTTTCTCACACTCTTTCATTCCACATGTGTCGCTTAAATTCTTGGTCGGCCACTTATCGTGGTTGATCAGGCCAGAACCCATAGGACCCCACAAAGACAATTAGTCTATGAGTCTTAGTTGCAGTGGTAAATCACAGCTGCCAACAGTCCTGTGAATGTAGCCTCGGACATCTGCTGGCAGCAGGGGCTGGCAGATTCTTATGTCTCGACTAATATCTATATACTAAGCACATGCAGCCTCTCACACACAAACCCTAACAAAGTTACAAATATAATATTTTGCATGTACAGCAAATGCCTAAAATTCGGCTCTAACAAAGCATGTGATGTTTAACTGTGTACTGTTTTTGATGACCGATGGGTTATCAGGGCACTTGATTTCAATAAATCAAACCGTGCATTGGAATTCACGTGTGTTTTGTACATTCCCCAGGGAGGTAACTCCCTTGCTCTTAATTGTTTTTGCATACCGTTAAACAATAATATCGCTAATAGCGTTATAACACTACATCCCTCTTCTCCTTGGATGAAAAATTAGCTTTAAAATAAAATAAACATAAGAATGTTATCTTGACATAAATTATAAAATCATTTCTCAAATTAACTTTAGCATCCATGTGTTAAACAATACTAAATTTACTACAGACCCCCAAAAAACATTCATTTAAAGTCTCTCAAAGAAAACCCCACTATATAAGAATTAGTCTGAACACATTACTATGCAAAAATCCTCTTTGCATTTTTTGTTGTTTTGTTTTTCTTTACACAACAAAGTCATTAAATCTGGACGGAAGTCTCCTTTCTCGGGTTGAATATCTTCGTTCTTGGATTTGTTCATTCAAATCCATTTCTGGAACCGGTTCTTCAGGAACAGTGTCATTTGATGTCTCATCACTTGGCATGTCAATGTCAAGTGTGTCCTTAGTCTCCTGAATTTGAGATTCTGTGGGTTGGCAAGGAGCAGGTTTGAAGAAACTGCTGTTTCTTGTGACTTGTCTGTCCCCACATTTAGCACTTATCATGGAACCCTTGGTTGAGGTTACAGTGTAAGGAATGGGTTCATAAGGCGTTTTAGACTTATGAATTGACATGTCTTTCAGCAGCACTGCAACTCCTTTCTGATAATCTGATGGTTTTACATACACTTTTCTGTCTGCATATGTTTTCATCTTTTGCTTTGCTTGGGCATCTTTCACTCTCATGTAGCATCAGTCTCACTAACCTGACTGTCTATACTCCGTAATCGGTTTCTGAGGTTACGTTGAAACAACGCAGTTGCAGGAGGAACACCAGTGGATGAGTGTGGTGTAGTTCTGTAAGATAACAAGAACTTGTACATCTCCTGTTTCCAATTGGAATGCCCTTGTACCAAACAACCTTTAATGGTTTTCTTTATGGTACGCATGAAACGTTCCGTTTCTGCATTTGCACGAGGCCACAAGGGTGTTATTTTCCGATGTTTGAATCCAGTGTTTTCTGCATAGACTTTGAAGTCATGGCTATTAAATGGAGGGCCATTGTCAGTCTTGAGCACATATGGTATTCCAAATTCAGAGAAAACCTTATCCAATCTTGGAATCACACTCCTAGCAGAGATACTTGACATGATTTCCACAACCACGTATCTCGAATATTCGTCTTGGATAACCAACAAATAGTCTCCAGTTTCGATTTGTCCAAAATCCGCACTAAGTTCACGCCATGGTCCATCAGGTAGTTTTGACATTTGTAACGGTTCTCTTGATGGCGTTTCAGTTGCGATTTGACACGTTAGACAGTTTTTAACAGTGCTTTCAACCATGTGATGCATGTTTGGGAACCACACCTTTTCTCGCAGTAGCGATAGTGTCTTAACTATTCCTTGGTGCCCAGTGTGGGCTAGGTCCACAGCTTGCTTGTATAGGCTTTCAGGTAAGACAATCTTTGTCTCTTTTAGCAGAACACTATCATTCACCACAAGTGTTAGTTCATTTTGACACTTCTTCAAAGTGTCGTACACTTTGAGATTAACGTCATTTGATGACGATTTCCAGTTTCCACTGACTGGATGACTGCTTGTAGTGTAGGATCATTGTCAGTGGCATTCACAACATGATCTATAGTCATTGACTTGGGTACTGTTTTAGATACCACATACTGAATGTATTCTTCAGCAACGGCTTCCTGTTCACTCTTTGGAACATCTGAGAGGGGTGTCTACTCAGATAATCTGCTGGATTGTCTGCACCTGGTCGATAGACAACATTGAAGTCATATTGCTGGATTCTCATCATCCAACGCTCAATTCTTGGTGGCAGATTTGCTTTTGGGTTTCCAAACAGGCTTGTCAATGGTTTATGATCAGTGTATATTGTGAAGGAAGAACCAAACACATAAATGTGAAAATGTTCACATGACCATGTGATAGCAAAGCTTCACGCGTTTGGTTTGAGAGTACCGTTGTTCAGTCGGTGTGAGAGATCTACTGGCAAACTGAACTACTCTCGGATTTCCTTGCTCTTCTGATTGACAGAGAACTGCACACAATCCAACTGGACTGGCATCCACATACAGTTCTGTCTGAGCTCTTGGATTGAAGTAACTCAGGGTTGTAGCTTTCTTGAGCTCTTCTTTCAACTTGCAAAGAGCAGCTTCATGAGTGGCTGTCCACGACCAGGGGTGTATCCTTGTGCGTGAGTTGACGCAGCTCATAGGTGAGTGTGGAATAGTTGGGAACGTGTCTTGCACCACAGAAGTTTTGCCATTCCCAGCAGACTCCTTACTTCAGTAGCATTCTTTGGTGATGGCATGTCCATTATTGAAGACAGTTTTGCTTCACTTGGTGTGATACCTTGACCACTGAACACATGTCCAAAGAACTCAATGGATGCTTGATTAAACACACATTTCTCTGGATTTAATGTCAGTCCCTTTTCTCTCATGAGTTGAAACAAACCTTTGAGGTTGCTGTCATGTTCTTCAGGTCCACAACCATGAATGAGAATGTCGTCACTGATATTGATAACACCAGGTAGACCACTCACTGCTTGACGAATGGTTTCTTGGAAAACTTCAGCTGCACTGTTGATACCGAAATTCAAACACTTGTAGCGAAAGAGTCCAGGATGAGTAGCAAAGGTTGTGATGTACCGAGATTCTTCACTGAGTTCAAGTTGGTTGTAACCTTGGTTAAGGTCAACTTTGCTAAACACAGTAGATCCAGCTAGTATGGTTGTGAGTTCAACAAGTGTGGGAGAATTGTGTCGTTCTCGTTTGATAGCAGTGTTTGGACACCTCATGTCAACACATACTCTCACTTTACCTGGACTGTTGGGCTTTGGAACTACTACCACTGGCGAAACCCAGGGCGTTGGTCCAACAGATTTCTCTATGACGTCACGTTCAAGATCTTTCTTGATTTGTTCTTCTATGTCTTTTCTGACATGGAATGGAACACGTCTGTATTGTTGAGCAACTGGTGGAACCTCTTTGTCAATGTGAAGCTTGACCTGAACATCTTTCAGTTTCCCTAAACCTGTAAAAAGGTCAGAGTATTCGGCAATCAGCTCATCGTCCCTAGATTTGACAGTTCTGACGGATTCATGAACTTGCAGAAGATTGAGTTCTTGTGACATCTTCCAACTTAGAAGACACTCTTCATCATCAGGAACTATGCAGATGTTTGTAGTCACTGTTGCTGTTTTTGACTTGATTGTTCCTTTGAATCGTCCTAATACTGGAACTGAATCTTTCTTCCCATATGGTATTATCTTGGTTTGACAGTTCTCTAGGGTTGGTTTTGGATTCAGCATTTTGAACACCTTTTCAGAGATAGTGTTTACACTTGCTCCAGAATCAGCTAACATACTAACACTCTTGCCATTAATGTTCAAGTCAAATTTTGGAAATTGTGTAGAATTTCCTTTTGCTAAGAAAACATAGTCTTCTTCTGCATCACTATTGTCCATCCCAACATTCCGTACTTTCTTCCTTTGAAAACGTTTATTTCCATAGCTCTTACACACTTTTGAGAAATGGTTCATTTGACCACACTTGTCACACGCTTGACCTCTTGCTGGACAATTCCTTTGACCACCCTGATGAGGCCAGTCTTGTCCACAATTGTCACATTTAGCTGAGGGTTTTGAGCTTTCTTTCCTTGAAAACTTTTTGGTGTGCTGTTTCTCTCTATAAATTCTGTGTGCATGTTCATTGTTAGTACTGGAATTTGTTGCTGCTTGTATTTCTTTAGCATGCCTATTGGTAAGTTCCAATGTCCTACCGTGAGTGAGCAAGTCAACCAATGTCATATTTGGGGTTGAAAGTCCTTTCTCCCTCACTTTGTTGGATTTACAGCCTGCTATCAGTTGTGATTTGATTTCACTTTGTACCCTATCTTCAAAACCACAGGTACTTGCATGCTGACGTAATTCATGATAGAATTCATCAATATTGTCCGTTTTCTGCCTTAATTGACGAAAAGCATACCTTTGAAATTCAAGGTTGACCTCTGGATTGAAATGATTAGTGATAGCAGTCACTATTTTGCCAAAGTGTGTCTCACCTGCTCCCGGCACCAAATCCGCTTCGGGAAATGAATCCACAATGTCATTCAAATCATCACCTCCAAACGATAACAGCAATGCTTTCTTCTGTCGATCATCAGTGATGTTATATCCAACGAACACATTATTCACAAGGCGAGATCTCCACTTGTTCCAACGAACGGGCTTTCCATCCGACTTGCAATCGAAGGGGGGATAGTGCGGTAGGTTTACCACTGCTCGCGGCTGTACGTCAGGCTGAGGAGCTTGATCTGCCATAATATCGATGGATAATTATGATCTCCCTTATCCTCGTCGCCAATGTACTGTTTTTGATGACCGATGGGTTATCAGGGCACTTGATTTCAATAAATCAAACCGTGCATTGGAATTCACGTGCTTTTATTCCAGTGTTTTTTTTACATTCCCCAGGGAGATAACTCCCTTGCTCTTAATTGTTTTTGCATACCGTTAAACAATAATATCGCTAATAGCGTTATAACACTACAAACTGAACATGCTGCACCATAACCAAATGCTAAATGGGGTTGTAATAATATATTAATCAAGCTCATATTACAGAATACATTTGTGAGAGACACCTATTCAGAGCTATTGTTATCAAAGAGTGGATATAATATTATAATCATCATTGTTTACGAGCTATTAAATTATTATTTAATTCATTACATTTATTTTTTTAGAATTACACCTGGATTTTCATTGCACATTAAGTTATCTTCTGGATAATTCCAACTGCAAGATACTTTATTTATTAACACAGTTTTATGGGTACACATGCATTATACCGGATACCTGCCTGCCATATTTTATTAGGTCCCCTCTCCGGAGGACAATAAAATCCCACTGTAAGATATCAAATGCAATCAAACGATTCACCAATCTGCACACATGTCAACTCCACCCTTACTGTGCGTGCCATGCTTAAACAATACCAGCCTTTAAATGAAAACAAAGAAATCCAAGTAACAAACTTACCTCGACTAATGAATGGGCCAGCCTGAAGACGACGCTGTGACAACTCTGCATCTGTTTGGCCACGTGCTATTCATGCAACATTGCCTTAGTGCTTTAGCAGTCCATAGTCTGTTACATGGCATAGGTTTCTGATTCACACAGCCAGTGTCGAGTATGATTATCCACGGCATACCCTATGTAACAGTGTTACCGCCATTGCCGAAAAACGTTGTTTGTCACCGGAAGTACTAAACAACGTAATCTCTCGCGAAGTGCCGTGACCTACTTACGGGCCCTGACCTTTGAAAAACGGGTGTGTTTGCTGAAATGCGCGGCCGCGATATTCGTCTTAAACTAGCATTTCTTGTAATGCGTGCCATCGCACTGGCGTTATGCACCAGAAATATCTTGACAGACGGTTGCTCGGTCCAGTATCGTTATATCACCCAGTCGACCTTTGTATGATGATAGTATTAACTGTGTCAGCCGGTAAGATCAGCTGTGTGATATTCGAGACTAAGGAACGTCCGAAAACGATAAAATTCACAATCCAGATCACGATCCTAAAATAATGATGCCCTGAGTAGACGCACGCCCGTGGAAATCGTCTGATATCCGTTTTTGCACACAGATCTAAGTTGACAAGTGTCGAGTGCAATATTCTGAACTCGAAAATGTAGAAATTGCAGTCATGCTATTGTGTTGCAAAGGGAGTTGTGTGCAAAATATTCAACAACGTTCGGCCATATTCTGAGAAGAATCTACAGTGAGTATATATGCTTCTTGTTTGCCAGTAGATACGGCGTTGAAATGAGTTTGTTAATGTTACTAGGCAGCAGAAATATGCCATCGTCGAACCGCGAGCGAATGAGGCAACGTATCACTAGGCTGTTTGCTGATCAGCATGGTTATGGCTACTTTTTATCAAATCTCAACAGGTCACCAGCATGTACGCATATCTTATCACTTTATCGCTGTGATTATGCCATTAAGAAAATGATTCGATAAAACAAAACGTATTTTAAGTAAGGGGCATTTTGTCATATCATTGAAATGTTCTGAGTTTTTTGTGCTAATAGAAACACTATTTCCTAGTAGTTCAGAATGTCCACATGCCACAATATAGGTATTCTTCAATTATATGCATATATATGATCTCTTTTATACATATATGGGGACCAATATATGTATATCCTCATATTGTGGGTTTTCAGACACTTAAGAGACATTCATTGTTATCTTTCATTAAGTTTCAAATCACATGAACGATTGTAAAACATCTCACTAACTTGTAAGTTAGCTATGATCTGAACACTAGCCATCAAGTCTATGTTAAAGTATGTGAGTTACGATCTTAGCACTACAGTATCTTTGTGGAGTTGTATGGGTCATTGTCCGCACAGGGTCTGCATATCATGTACATGTGAGTCACCTAAGGACTAATCTTGGTTTTGAAACTATGTGCTCTTGTAATACAACCTTTGAAAAAGCTACTCTCATCAAAAATAGTTTATTCAAAGGTGTTATTTTCTTCGGTTCAGAGATACTGAGACATGTAGCCTGAAATTCAAGGGAACTCCTGTCTCTCTGTGTATTGGTTCTGTTATCAGTGAAATATGAGGCAGCTTTGTCAAGACATCTCTCTAATTATGACCATCTGGACATGAATTGGGAAATTGTGAATTCCACTTTGTTAGTTTTTGCTGACATTTACTGCAGGCTTGGGGCCAAATATCAGCCTCTGAGGAAAGGTAGATAAATCGGTATACCGTGGTATGCTCTATGAAGGCACCTTTCTGTACACATCTGTACACACCCTGGCTTGACATAGTGTACAGTGTTGGGGTATACGGTACATTGGTATACTCTATGCAGGCAACTTTCTGGACACATCTGTACACACCTTGTTCTGATGGTGTGTTCAGTATTAGGGTATACGAGTGATGGTATACTCTATGCAGGCAACTTTCTGGACACATCTGTACACACCTTGTTCTGATGGTGTGTTCAGTATTAGGGTATACGAGTGATGGTATACTTTATGCAGACAACTTTCTGGACACATCTGTACACACCTTGTTCTGATGGTGTGTTCAGTATTAGGGTATACGAGTGATGGTATACTTTATGCAGGCAACTTTCTGTATACACCATGTCTTGACATAGTGTACAATGTTGGGGTCAGACTGAGTCTGTTTGCGCATTGCACAAAACTGTTTTCACTTTCACAATATGTTGCTTAATCAATAGAAAGTTTGGTTAGGCACTCTTTAGTATACAAGCAGAAGTACATTTCCGCTGTACATGGACTGGGAATGGCCCCCAAATCCAAACTGAAATACATTACATATTGTGTTGTTTATCAGCTATAGGTCCATAACAAGCATCGATGAAGACGCTTGGTCCATAACAAGCGTCTTCATCGATGCTTGTTATGAAGCTATAGCCTATAGGTAGTTTAATATTACCAATCTAAATCACTGTATTCATGCTTTTCCGAATTGTTATGTAACAGTGCAAATGGTGAAGTAGCTTACTAATCAAGCTAATAATCATGACTTCATTTTTTAATTGTACCCATGGTACAAATCATCAAAAACAGAATTCATGTTTCTGAGAATACCCAAAATCATATATTACCTTCTCCATCTCAGTTTATATTGAAAGGTGATTCTTATCATGAGGTTACACAAATCTTAAGATTCTTTGCATAGCAATTACATAATAGGACCCCACATTCATTTGTTCCTTCAGATCACTGGATGATAACAGATAGACATGCAGATTGTGGACATAACAATGCACTTCAAAGTCAGAAATATCTTCATGGGCTCTCGGATTTGTTGACACACACAAGGGACAACACGACATGCGAGTAGTTCCAATCACCCGCTTTATTCTGACGTAGCACACAAGTCACGTGATCCACATAAAGTTATCACGGAGATAATATAGGCTGTACAACTCATTGAGAATACTACAGTCCTCCCACAGTTAGTACTGAAAATACCAATTATTTTCAAATATTAAATTTGAAAATATTAAAATCTACCACCATTCAAACATGTAATAAATAATATGATTCAACAAATAAATATACCATCAAACATATCCCACTTTCATAATTACACAAGTCACCATAATGATAAATCATAATGACTTACCGGTAATATAGAATATTTAAATGTTCATTTCTTTACATAGTCTTTCAAATATGCAGGAGCACGACGTGTCCTTTGAGATCTTCTTAAACAAGCAGTATCTGCTGATTGTGTAGCAGATCCACTCAGTTCATTTTCTTCTTCAGGTTCAGTCACATTAGTACTGAGATCTACAGCTAAATCAGCACACAATTTATCTTGTTGAACAGTAGAGTTCTCTGTAGGTACTGAAGTTGCTTGTACTTGTGACTCAGTTCTGTCTAATACCAAATTTCTCGGAATCATATCTTCAGGAATCTCAACATTATCAAAGTTCACTGGATCCTCACATGGAGCATGTCTAAGAAATTTAGCATTTCTTACACTGATAACACCTGCATCACAGTTCACGATCTGGAATGTATCACGTTGTTTCCTGTTGATGATCACATGTTTTACAGGTTTGTACGTTGGAGTTATCACCAACACTAAACGTATGATGTCTTACACTGTTCTTCACATCTACATATGTCTTCATCTTCTCTGCATAACAGAGTAATTCTTGATAATAATGGATCAGGTTTCGATGAACACAGTACTGGATATTTAGTTTTAATGTTCCTATGAAACAATAACATGGCTGGAGTTTCACCAGTAGCTCGATGTGGAGTAGCTCTATACATTTGTAGAATTCTCGGTAATTGTCGTTTCCAGTCATTCCCATCAGTTGATGCAGAACGGAATGCTTTCTTCAGAAATCTGTGGAAACGTTCAATCTTTCCATTGCTCTTGGGAAAATATGGCAAAGAACGAATATGTTCAATCCGTGCCATTCTCAAATATTTCACAAACTGTGCACTCACAAATTGACGACCATTATCTGAAACTATGCTTTCTGGGAAACCATGTTCAGAAAATATTTTTTCCAAAACTTCAGTGATAGCACTTGATGTAATGTCTTTAATCACCACAGCAAATGGATATGAAGAAAAGTAGTCTATCAACGTTAACACGTAGGCTGAGTCAATAGGTCCAACGATGTCTATACCGACTTTCGACCAAGGTCTCGGAGCTGGATCTACAGGTTGTAATGGAGTGTCATTTCTTAAAGGTTGATTCAGAACACAGGTTGTACACTTGTTAACAAGTTGTTCCACTTCAAAATCCATATTTGGCCAATAGAATCTAGTCCGAAGGAATTGTTTAGTGCGTACTATGCCTTGATGTGTCTCATGAGCAATACTCAAAACTTTCGACCTTAGTGATCGAGGAATCACTATTCTCTCTCCTCTCAAAAGAATAGAATCATACGTTGAGAGTTCGTTCTTGAACTTCAGATACTGCACTGACACATCACTCCAGTCATCTGTTTCTAAAGCACTTAATACTTTCACAATTTCTCCATCTCTTGATGAACAGTTTCTGATTTCATCCAGTGTAATTGAATCAATATCTAGCACACATGTGTCAACCACAGATCTGATATAATAATCAGCCACATTGTCACTTTTCTTTGATGATAAAGATTGTCTTGAGAAAAAGTCTGCAATATTAGATTTGCCAGCTATGTGTCTAATTTGGAAATCATATCCCTGTAACTTCCAAGCGAATCTTTGAATTCTAGGGGTAACTGAACTGTTTTCTCTAAAGTAAGCATGTGAATTAACGGACGGTGATCAGTTTGTAATACAAACTTCCTTCCCCAAAGATACTTATGGAAATGTTCCACAGACCAGATATTTGTGAATACCTATGCTCAGTTTCTGTCAAAGAACGACTAGCAAACGCAATAGGTTGAAAACTACCATCATCCATGCTCTTGAAGTAAAACTGAACCCAAACCAACTGGACTAGCATCACTAACCACAATAGTTGGAGCCTCAACATCATAGAAAGCTAAACATGTGGCTTTACCAATAGCCTTCTTCAAAGATACAAATGCTGACTGACAAACATCGTCCCATTTCCATTTCACTCCAGTTCTAGTGAGAAGACGTAATGGCTCACAAAGATCTGCAAAACCAGGAATAAACTTCATCAAGTAATTGCACACTCCTAAGAATGAACGTAACTCTGAAACATTTCCTGGAGGATTAGCTAGTTCAACAGCTGATACCTTCTTAGGATTAGGTCTAACACCCTCAGAAGAAACTACATGTCCTAGAACCTCTTTCTCTGTCATGCCAAGTTTACACTTGTCCTTGTTGAGCATTAAATTGTACTCTCTACATCTTTTGAAAACTTTTCTTAGCAAAATTTCAAGTTCTTCTAGAGAATTTGTATAGCAAATCAAGTCATCAATATATTTCTCCAAACCTGAAATATCATGGAAAACATAGTTCATAGCCTTTTGATATGCTTCAGAAGCTGAATTTAAACCCAAAAGAAGTCTTTTAAATCTTAATATACCTCTGTGTGTAACAAAACTTGTCAAATCTCTAGAATCCTCTTCCAATAAAATCTGCCAGAATCCCCGTTTACAATCAAGCTTGGCAAAGTAACGTGCTGACTTCATAGCATAGAGTGTATCATCTACAGTAGGAATTGGAAACCTCTCACGAACAACAGCCTTGTTGATCTCACATAAATCACAACAAACTCTAATCTCAGAAGTATTTGGTTTCGG